TCAGCTTTTAAACACAAACCTAATTATAAGACTTCCTGACCAGAACCCATAATTACTTATTTTTTTGTTTTACTTATGAAGAAAAAATTCTATAGTGTACTCTTAAATACGAAGTGTGATATTTTATTTCCTTTATACTTCTCTAAAACAGGTAGTGACTCCCTTCACTCCCTTTACTGCAACCACACTTGACTTCTTTGTGAAACTTGGAATCATCCATTCTCCTTTATCATATAGAAGGCTTACACATTGCTATTTCCTTTGCCTGCAATATTATATTTATCCTTTTTTATTAATCAATTTTAATTTTATCTTTTAGAAATCAGTCCAAGCATTATTTTTTTAGGGAAGTATCTTCTGGTTTCTTTAACTTAGCCACATGTGCAATTTTCTTTTTCTTATGTGTCTGTAGTGATCTGAATAATAGTAGTATTTTCTGAAAGATTATAAATTTCTGTAAGTCCATGAACATAACATTGTGTTGCTACCATTTGCTCTAGTATTCCATATCTAGTGCATCTAGTGTGTACTTTTCTCACCCCAATGATTGGCAGTTTAAATCCACCCAGTGATACCAGGGAAGAAAAGGCCTGGTGGCTCGCTTCCATTAAAATTTACAGTCAAGATAACCTTATGATACAGTTCAAATTTGGATGCAACTCTACAGCAACTAACAGAAACAGCATTTTTGCTTATATATTCGTGATCATTAAATATATATGTGTTAGAGGGATCCTTTTTTTCAGCTTTCATTTCAGGCTTTCCATTTTTGTTAATAACTGACATTTTAAGGTGGCAAAGCAAAGGAAATTTGCTATCTTTAGTTATTACCAATTCTGCTTAAAGGAGCATAAAGCAGCAAGAATGGGTAATTTTATTTTTATAATTTGTATATATTATAAAACAATTATTCTGTTAGGTATATAAATTTAATGAAATTAAAACAATTGTGGTCACATTTCTACTTCTTTTCAAAATAATTACCAAATGATAGCCCCTTTTTTTGCCCTTTGAAAAGTCATTTATTGCTCCACCCCGCCCCCCAAAGTTTTGTGGACTTAAAAAAAAAACAAAAGATAAAAGTTTACCGATTGCCTAGTTCGGACTTAGCACGAGGAGGTGGGGACTTGTGCCAGAAGGCTGGTGGCCACGCCTCCATCCACAGCAGAGAGGCTTTGGCCCTCTTGAGAACAAGTTTCCTCAAATCTGTATTCCTGCCTCCAAGGAAGGGTTCCTTAAACTCAGCTCACATGAGATGACTCAGCCAGTCACCGGAATGGTACAGAGGTTTGTTTGGTCTGTTTTACTTTAGTTTTTGCCTTCCTGCTATAAAAATGAATCAAATTGCAGTTCATTTCTGCAATATAAATTGGTCAATAAATGCGTTTTGTTCTGCTTCTACTTTACACAAAGCTTCGTATTCAACCCGCTACCTTTCTAGCTGAATTTTCTTCTCTGCTATTAGTGCTTGAAGCTGCTGCTGCTGCTGGGCTTCTCTGTTTGGCTCTAGATTTCAGCAAGTTTCGCGTACCAATGGCCTTCATCTTCTCATTTTCTGCTTCTTTTGCAAGTTGGTCCACCAGCCCAATTAAGCCACCAACTATTTTCTGAAGCTGGCCGATTTTGTCCACAAAGTCCTTGCACTCCTCCTTGAGCTCTGTGGTCTGCTGCGTGACTCTGGGTCCAACACCGGCAGCTTGTTCAGCTCTTCAAAGTGCAGCCCTGCTTATCCCAGGATGTCCTTGGCCATAGCTGCAAGACACATCACAGGGATGCGCTGTGGGCCAGGCTGCTGCCTGTGCCAGCTAAGCCCTCGGGCCGGTGCCTCCCTGCCAGTCTCCAGATGATAGCTTTATTCAAGTTTTAAATTGGGAAATAATCTATTTCGCTTCCCTTTTATGCTTAGAAAACTACAAATGTTTGTAAAGGAAATGTCATAGTTAAGTTTGGAAAAATTGCCAACAGCTTGTGAGTAGTGATAAGTTATTAATAGTTGTGAAAGAACATTCCCTGTAAATCTATTTGGCCTTAAAATCATATTTCATTTCTGAGCACAGCTGTTTTTGAGTTGATCGGTGGTGATGGAAATCGTTTTGTTTTTTTCCCCCTTGTTTTATTTGCCCACGACTGCCAATGAACATAATGCTGTATAAGGGAATAAGATTGCCTGTGTATGAAGGTAATGTGTATTCAGAATAAATCCATGAGGGAAGCTAATGGTTGTTAACCTGCTCAGCTGCAAAGTGAAATTTGAAGATCCGAGCCTACTCAAAAGTACATGGGAAGGAATGTCTCGTGATTTACTTTTGAAAAATCAGCCACTGATAGTCGATTTTAAATGTGGTCACATGGGTTTCTCATGACTTCTAGTCAACTCACAATTGGTTCCTAGTTTTGTATTCACAGCAGGAATTAAGTCAGACATTTCCTAAGCACCTGGTGGCATAGTCAGGTAGACATTAGATTGCAAGATCATTGGTTCAAACCTAGCAGTAGCTTCATGGGAGAAAAATGAGGCTATCTGATAGGTTGCTATGAGTCAGCATTGACTCAGTGGCACTGGGGTTTAGTATTCCTGAGTACAATCGAAACTCTGCCATGTGGCCCTGCATCATTGGCTGTGTGTCTCTGATCCTACATTTACTTGTGCCACAATGATAATAAGCCTGCATTCTTCCTGTGAAGGATAATTGTGATCTGAACTTGAAAAGCCTTAACATAGAGCTTGCCACAGCTAATTATTTAACAATTTCAGTCACCTCTCGTCTGATAATGGAATAATAACAACAATGCTGCTGTTTTACTGGGGACTACTTAATCCAAATGTGACTGGTGTCTTTCATTTGAGGTAGTCCAGTTTATTCAATGATTTTGTTGAAAAAGAATTGTTTTTGATTGATGGAGATTCGTTAGTCATCACATGTCTATGTGAGAAATCGTGAAGCCTGGGGCAGAATCTCCACAGCTTCTGTCTGGTTGAAAGTTACCTTGTAGATATTCTGAGAAAATGGAGGATGCTTTTCCATCATTTTTTTTCAAGGTAAGCTATGAACTATTAGTTTAGCTCTTTTTTATGCTATAAGAACTAAAGTTAAAATCCACCAACTTATAAGTAATATTTTTCTAGTTTAAAAATAGACCTATGGTTCTATACCAGTCTGGAGGATATTTTAATATTATAACTTAGTTGTGTGTGTACATTCTATTGCATTACTGTATAGATAGTTGACAGTAAGAAGTACTTTAAAAAATATCTTGTCTTTCAGGATGTTAAGTTTCTGATACACATTAAAAGTAGTAAAATAACACATGTTGTAAATGTTCTTGTTAAAATTCACAGGAACTATTGGTATGCTGTTGTTGTTTGAGCTTTTAAAACGGATGACCTCAGTGTGCTCTTGGGGCAGTCCAGACTGTAGTTTCTGTGCATTGGATCTGGGAAGGAGAGAGGAAAAGGAAGTGTAAAAAGCTCCATGGCAATGTGTCTATGAGGGGGCACCCCCCAAAAAAAGACCGCAACCAAAAAAAAATGGGAAAAAGCAGAGCTTTCATGGTGATGCATTTTTCCCTGCTGGGCTAGCATCGAACAACTAGCTCCGAGTTAGTGCACCGAGTGGCGTTGCCTGGGAAGGTTTCTCTGGTCACATTGAATTTTTTCGTAAAAGCAATTTTGCTCAAACCTTGTTTTTGTCATGGCTGATTTAAGAGACCAGCTTGCAGTTGTGAAATTCTGTTTCCTGCTGGGGAAAATGCCACAGAAACTGTTGTGATGTTGAGCACAGCTTACAAGGAAGCATTATGGGAAAAACTCTGGTGTACAAGTGGTTTTCTCCTTTCATCAAAGGTGAAATGTCAGTTGATGACAAACCTTGTTCTGGATGTCTGTCAACTTCCCAAATGGACAAAAATGTTGACACGTAGTGCATTTGAATTCTTTCCACCAGGTCGGACTGTTAATCGAGCTTTCTATTTAGAGGTTTTGAAAAGAGAGCATACCAGTGTGCAACAAAAAAGGCCTGCTTTGTGGCAGACGGGGGACAGTTTTTGCCACCACCACAATGTACCTGCTCATGCAGCCAACTCAGTGAGCCTGTTTTTGGCAAAAAACCACCATGCCTCTCTTGCCTCAATGCACCTGCCTCACTTGACTTCTCTCCCTGTGACTTATTTTTGTTTCCGTGAATGAAGAGGGACATGAAAGGACAGCGATTTGATGACATAGAAGAGGTGAAGAAAAAAACAAGGGAGGTGCTGTCACCCATTGTGTTAGACAGGGTTCTCTAGAGAGAGAAAACCAAATTGCTAATAATTTAATATATTTATTTATAAAGATAATTAGATATATAACAAGAAATGAACTGTTAAGTCATATACAGATAAATATATAAAACAAAAAATGAACAGTTAAATTATAAAGCACGACAAATGGCTTAGTGCAACTCACTCCCGTGAGAGAGAGAGTTGTGAGAGACTAGTAGTCCTTCAAGTCCAGTCTGCTGCCAGATCTCCCTCTATTTATAGAGAGAGCTAGGCTATCTCAGCACAGCAGCCAGTCACAAGGCAGATCACCAGCTGTCAACTAACCACCAGTCTCAACTGCCAGTCCCCAGCTCCAGAGATATCTTAAAGGGACCTCAACGTACAGCGACACAGACCATGGGATAGGCATCCCACAGGTAGTGTAGTCTATAAATTGAGGCACAGAACAAGCAAGGCAGCCGCACACTGGTGCGATGATCAAAGAGCAAGAGACAAGAAAGGCAAGGTTCACTGAGCCATTCTTCTCTCTGCCCTTCAGTTAATCCCACTTGTGTTTATCGGCCAGGCTGGCACAATAAACTATCTCACCCATCCAAACAGATGAGTTTGAAAAATGTTTCCAAGAATAGAATCGCAGATTTGACATGTTTTAAGTGCAATAGAGAGTACTTTGAAGGTGATAAGGTTGTTTTGTTTTTTAAAAATTTAAATACATAGCTTTGAAAAAAATCAGTTTTTGGGGGGTACCCCCTCTTATAGTGAGGCCAGATTAGCCGTTGTTCTTTACGCTTGTGCATCGTTTTACTCTTCTGTGTAGGTCGTGCATACAAAGAGCTCATAAACTATCATGTTTGTATATACCTCTGTGCTAACATTCACAGGAAATGTTGTCTTTGGGGAATGGACTTGTTAAGCCACTTCTGGACAGTATACAAATGTATACTTGTGTTCATGGTTTTGAAGATGTGAGAGGGAAGGAAACTACAAAAGAGGTTGCAAAAGTTCTGATTTGGCAACCTCTAGTCTAAACGTTAAAGAGGTTTCTAGTGCATGACAATGTACAGTTAGTAAAAGCAACATTTTGTACACTGTGAATTGATAGGAAAGTTTGTCTTCTGTAAATGACTTTTGGGTACAGAATTTATCTAACCACTTCTAATAATTACATATACCTGTGCACTGGACTGGTGATGGAAAGAATATAGTGAGGATAAAACCAAAGTGGTCGTATTTAGAGGATACTTCAGATTATAACCATTGTGGTGTGTGGAATTTTATTTTAACAGTGCTGTGTATGTGGTGGGGCAAGCATATTCTTATTGAAAATGCTAGATGTTCAGACCCACTTGGTGTATTTAAGTAGGCTAACCCTTTGTACATAGCTTTTTAGGATTCAAGAAAAACATTGTCTTTGGGAATTGAATTTTGAAACACCTCTGTATTCTTTTACTGCTTTTTCATTGGGGTAAGGGGAGGGGGTGAACAGACATTGCAAATGGCGTTAGTGTGTACTAAAAAAATTCCAGGTTATCCATTGCCCTGCATGTTACATGCTTTTTATTTAACTTTGCTGTACTTTATATTGGACAAATGAGTACTAATTTAATAATACCTAGTCTCTAGATATTAAAGATGTTGTCAATGTATGAAAAAATAGTAAACCGACAGATTTTGTACACTGGTAAAAATCACAGAAGTGCTGTCTTCTGGAGATGAAAAATTAAAACCACATCCAAGTGGACAGGTGCCTATTACTTGTCCTCCGGGTTGTCGTGTAGAGGAGCTGAAAAAATAATGACTCTGGACTAGAATGTTCCTATTTACAAGACACTTTCAGATAGGACCTTTGTTACCTATGCATAGTTTCTTCTATACTACTGTGTATAGAGGGGACAATCAAGTCCTTATTTAAGACATCTAGTCTTTCCAGATGCTTAGAAGTGCACAAGCTATGTTCAAAGTAGAGATAGAAAATAGCATAGCTTGTAGATGCCCTTTCGTTAAAATTCATACAGACGATTGTCTTTTGGAAATGGCATTGCCAAACTGCCTCTCTGAGCAGTACATTTGAGTTTCTTCATGGAGGAGGGGAGAACGTGCAAAGGGCTTTACCAGTATGTTTATAGGGAGGCAAGGTGAACCACGGTCCCATGCGCGCTGTGTATTGTGTACAACTTTGCTGCGCATCTGGTGTCTAACGAGGATAAGTTCTAATGTGCATCATCTGGTCTTCCTGGATGTTCAAGTGGTTGCCGGTGTATGACAAAAGTAGACTGTGTGAGATTGTAACCATAAGTCTGTATGTATATTGTTTATAAAATACATGTGCAATGTTTGTTATTTTACAGCCTCTAAGCTATTTAGAGATCTTGACGTGATGATACATGATAAAAAACGTCGTACTAGTAATCTGTAAATAACTCATTGTTATAATTTAGAAAAGCACGTTGGACATGGAATGAGTATCCACCTTTGAACAGTGTACATCCAGATTGGTGGCCGACGGGCAGCAGGTATGCAAGTGCGCCCGTATTTGCACTTTGATAGTAACCATATATGGATGTGTGCATTTCTTGACTGTAACACAGAAATCTATTAAACTCAATGGAAACACCTTAGTACTATTTTAATCATTTTAAATCTGGCAATTCTCTTAGGAGCATTATGCTTAGAGTCCTCTGGCTTTCTGTTTCGTTTAAAATCGAGCATTAAAGGAATGCTGTATTTTAATTGTAACTTTGTCCACATCTATGAACCATTTTTATCTTTTATGAACTTTCTCTTCCCTTCAAGGGGTGGTCTTCTTTTTCTTATAGAGCCAGCATTTGCTTGCCAAAATACTCATGGCCTTGGGGCTTTGAATTGAGCAATATTTGTGATGTGTGAAAAATACATGAATCTGTACTGTGTGACCTCAACCCTCTCAAGGGGGCTCTCAGTCATTTATATACATACATAGGGTGTGGAAAGATATGTCAAACTGTACCTCTCAAATCGTCAAAGCGATTCTGAAGGCCTTTTGTGATCTTTGCCTTTTGCTTCTCGGGTTTCTCTGATGCACCAAGAAGTTTGAAGAGGAAGAAAAAGTGACTTGTAAAGCTTGCTTGGAGTCCCCATTGCCTGTAGAATAAAGTTAGCTTACTGACAACAACAACAACAAAAAATGTATACTTATGAAAATCCAGAAAATTTCAAGAGAAGTTTAGAAAAGATAACTAAAATTTCTTGTGTTTAGAGATGATCCTATTTAAGATGATCTTTTAGTCATAATGATAGAACTGTTATTTAATGAGATAGACCACGACCAATCTTTAAAAAGCAACCTAGTTCATCTCTGGATGCTGTTCATCCATTTCTGAGAATTAAAAAAAAACCTCAGTAGTTAATTTATGTGAGTACCAAATGATGAAGAATTCACTAGCCTGATTCATTATTACTTGCTCTTTTTAAAATTATAGTCTAAGTCAATCAAATTTTAACCATCTAAATATAGCTGTTATCACCTTAGGTTTTGCTAGAGAGACAAAATCAGTGATATACATGGGGATTTCCATGAGTTTGTGAAAAATTCTATTATTTTTCCATCTATCTTTCCAAGAACTTCGGAAGCCCCCTTATCTGTGGTGTGTATGTGTGCTTACATATACGAGTACATACATATGATAGAGAGAGCAACATGCATATTGATCAGTGTACTTCAAGAAATTGGCTCACAGAATTGTGTGGCAATGGAACATTCAAATATAGAGGTCATAAATCAAGTTAATAGAATGTGCAGAGTGAAGCAACAGAAAGTCCTGACACACGAGCAGCTAGACGATTGTTAGTCCAAACCCTAGAAATCATAAAAACTCAAAATTCATTGCCTACTCAAATCCATGACTACTCACAGCAACCCAATAAAACAGGTTAGCACTGCCCCTGTAAGGTCTGACTGTATGTCTAATCACTACCACACCTGCCCCAGCCTATCCCTAAATGCAACCAATATATTACTCATAAACACTTTGATGTGTACCCGTTTAATCATTTTGCAATGCAATTGTTATTATTCTGCTTGACCATCAGTGCTGCTTGAAAGCAATGTTCTGCGTGAGGAGTCAGAAAGGGCATGGGTTTCATACTTATGCTCTAGTTTAATGAACTACACTTATGGCTTGCTCGGATAACCTTCTGCCACGTAGGAAGAGGCACAGTGACTTGCATCAATCCTGCCTAGCAAAGAGATCTGCCTTAGCGTCCCACTCCAGATAATTTATAGTCACTATTTCAATCTCAGAGCTTTCTGTTCTTTTTCATTTAGAATTGAGATTGACGAGGACAAAATTAAAGTGGGAAAGGGTGTACGATCAAACCTTAGTGTGACCTATCTGTTTCAATTGTGTTTAAGGTCAAATTTTGGTCTATTATATTATGTGTATTTGTTGAAGTGTTAAAGATCTATTTTTTTACTATGAAGCAGCACAAAATAGGGCTGGATCTGATTCCTTTAAACTGATTAATTACAAACTAAATTAATAAGCCACTAAACAATAATTCCTAAATAATGTATTCCCTTCTACCCAACAGGATGCTGAAAATGCATATGTCAATTTTCCTGACCTCCTTCATCTGAGAAGTGCTTTAATTCTTCATCTTCAGCATATTACCGCCATTGATGCTCAAACTGAATTTTCAGGATGCTTATCTCAAGAATGGAAGTATTTCTTGGAAGAGACCTACCCTTATTTCATAACCGTTTCAGAGGAGGCCTGAACGACCTACAAACGTACTTTTTCAACTTTCTCATCATACAGTCTTGGATCATGAAAGTTCATGTTGTACTTACTTCTGGGCAAGCACATGAGATTCTCGGACTTATGCATACCTTATGCCAAGCAGGCATGGAAACCAAACATTTTCCCATAAGGTAAGGTCGATCTCAAAGGCAATTCTCTCCTAAGAGTTTAGGAAAAAAATGTAAATAAGTTGACTAGTTTTCTTTTCTATAAAAATGTTCACATGTTTAACAGAGAAATAAGTGAAAGTAGCAATAATTGTTGTTGTTAAGGTGCTGTGGAGTTGGTTCCGACTCCTATAGAAGAGACACCGCCAAGTCCCTCAAAATTGTTCTTAAGCTTGAGCTCATCGTTGCAGCCAAACAATAAAAAAGTTTGTTAATAATAGCTACAAACTCATTATTTATTTAGCGTTACTGCTATAAAACTAGTACTTGTTATTCCCAATAAATTATATTTTAGCCCTTTTATAGCAATCATTTAAAGAAGGTGTGTTAGTGTGGTCTGTTTTCAAAAGAGAAAAGAGTTACTTAATCTAAATGTAAATGAGAAAAGAGTTACTTAATCTAAATCCTGATCAGTACTAAATGAGAAACTCTCACTGCCATCCAGTGGATGCTGACTCAGCAAACCTAGAGGACAGGGTAGAACTGCCCCCCCAGGAGTTTCCAAGACTGTAACTGTTTGCAGGAGTTGAAAGTCCTGTCTTTCTGCTGTGGAGTGGCTGGTGGTTTTGAACTGCTGACCTTTTGAATCACAGCCCAACTCATAGTCACATCAATGTTGTGATTCTGATTGGTTATTGTTAGTGATAAAGTCTTTGGACACAATAATGTTAGTCTGGGCTGGGTTAGATGAAAATATTATAGAGTATTGATTAAAAAGAGAGCCTGACTATAGTACTTTGCTGAGCCATTACTGCTTCCAAGTTAATAAAACCCAAAAGTGCATGAAACTGGAGGCAAAAGTTATGTCTCTGTTGCTTATACACGCTAGTGAAATAACAGTTGCTACGAGGACATTTATTTATTTATCTATCTATCTATTTATTTATTTTCGGGGTAGTATTCCAGAAGTGATTTACTATTTATTTATTTTGTGGAAAAATCCCACTATCTTTTAATTCCGTTTTTTTCCTTCTTTTTAAAATCATTTTATTGGGGGCTCATACAATTATTTTTAAATCATTTTATTGGGGGCTCATTCAAGTCTTATCACAATCCATACATCCCATCCATTGTGTCAAGCACATTTGTACATTTGTTGCCATCATTATTCTCAAAACATTTGCTTTCTACTTGAGCCCTTAATATCAGCTCCTCATTTTTCCCACTCCCTCCTCACTACCCCCTCCCTCATGAACCCTTCAAATTCATAAATTATTATTATTTTGTCATATCTTACACTGAATGATGTCTTCCTTCACCCACTTTTCTGTTGTCCATCCCCCAGGGAGGAGGTTATATGCAGATCCTTGTAATCGGTTCCCACTTTCCCTCCACCCTCCAGGTATCGCCACTCTCACCACTGGTCCTGAATGGGTCATCTGTCCTGGATTCCCTGTGATTCCAGTTCCTATCTGTACCTATGTACATCCTCTGGTCTAGCCAATTTGTAAGGTAGAATTGGGATCCTGATAGTGGTGGGGGGGAAGAATTTAAGAACTAGAGGAAAGTTGTATGTTTCATTGTAGCTACCGTGGAACCTGACTGGCTTGTCTCCTCCCCACGACCCTTCAGTAAGGTGGTGTCCAGTTGCCTACAGATGGGCTTTGAGTCTCTACTCTGTACTCACCCTCATTTGCCATGATATGATTTTTTGTTCTTTGATGCCTGATATCTCATCCTATCAATACCTCGTGGTCACACAGGCTCAGGTGCTTCTTCCATGTGGGCTTTTTTGCTTCTGAGCTAGATGGTCACTTGTTTACCTTCAAGCCTTTAAGACCCCAGATGCTATATCTTTGGATAGCCGGGCACCATCAGCTTTCTTCACCACATTTGTTTATGCACACATTTGTCTTCAGTGATCATATCAGGAAGGTGGCACCCACTGATAGGATTTTTTGTTCTTTGATGCCTGATACCTGGTCCCTTCTACACCTCGTGGTCACACGACCCTCAACAACATCGATTGACAAAGTGGCTACAACTATGGGCTCAAACCTAAGAACAGTGGTGAGAATGGCACAGGACTGGGCAAAGTTTCATTTTGTTGTACGTAGGGTAACTATGACTTCCAGGCCATTTTGAACTCATTTATAAGCCAAGATACAGTGAGTATCTATTGAAAGCTAAAATAAAATTATAAGTGTATTTATAGAAAGAAGGGTCATATTCCTATTCTTTGCAATATAACTATATATTTTTTCCTAAGCCATTTGTCTTTTATATATTCAATAAAATTATGTCACATGGACTTGTGTATATAAAGATGCTGATATCCTAGTGGCAGTGATATATAAGTATATCCTTACCTGACAGTCTGGATCTAGTCCTTGTGGCATTTTGGGCTATTCATTATGTTGTTAACCCCAAGATCAAGAGTTACAAAACTACCAGCCATTCTGGGGGATAAAGATGAGGTTCCTCCTATAAAGATTTATAGCCTCAGAGATCCTAGGGAGTCTTTCTATAGAGTCACTGTGATTCAGAATAGATTTGATGATAGTGGGTTGGGCTTGGGTTTTACCTGCTAGTTTAAGGCATCGTGATGATGTTCTCTTGTAAAAATGCCACATAAAGCTTCACCACTTCACAGATTTTTGACAAAGCAATTCTCAACAGTTGCTTCCACTTGGTTAGCAAGGGCCTGGCTTGACAAGGAAGTAAATCTGTAAGTTACAATGCTGACAGGTGAAAACGTAAAGCACAGCAGAGTCTATCTAGAGGACATGCTCTCATGAGGGTAGACATCTAGCAATACAGTTCCTTCCTTATTATCCTCATCTACAGAGTCCTGTTACTGCCATGAGTTAGGTCTTGGATTTCTAATGCAAGGTCAACAGTTCAAACCCATCAGCTGCTTTTCAGGGGAAAAGATCTGCTCCCATAAAGATTTGAAATCTTGGAAATACTATATAGGGTTGCCAGGAGATGTAATAAAATGGGGGAAATGATTTCACCATAAAGAAAAACAAAACAAAACAGGAAATGAACCTCCCACATGAGAAGAAATAACGGAATGCCTCAGTGACTGAAACTGAGAAAGGAGCTTAGATCGACAACAAAAGGAGGGTTAAGGGAGGAGGAACACAGATAGGCATGTGGCTTCTATATTTGGGGCTTTCCACAAGGCTTTCAATTTACATGTAGACAAGAATAGCTAGACCATGCTTTAGATCCAACAGATAGCCTGATCAATGACATCTGAGGGTGGGGAAATATGTAAACATCTCTTTTACGTTTTCTTCCCCCAAATCTACGGAGATGAAAATCTTAGTCTTGATTATGTAACAATAAATGTACTAAAAAGTGAACATTTCCTTGTAGTCTCATTGATTTTAGCACACACAGGAACCCCCAAAGTTATTAATACCAAACAAATATATTAATAAAATATTGTTATCACTTAAATGACATTAAATATACTGAAAAATAAAGTAAGTGTTAAAATATGTATTATGTTCATGTCCAAGACAGAGCTAAATTATACAAAGTTCTGATGAATCAATAAAAAAGCAACTCTGGTAAGAAGAAGGAACATGGACAATGGCATCAACAGATTGTTCACAAATGTCCAGTATTCAAAGCCCGTATATGAGATTGCCAAATCATTGCAGTGACAGAAAAGCAGATTTAAATGTGAATAACAGTTTCACCTGCGACTATGAAAACATGTTTTCTTTTTACAATGATAATGAGAAATGCTGGGCAATGTAAGAGAATAGACATTACCGTGTACTTCCAGACAGAATCAAAGTGGATTCAAACTTTTAGGAAGATAACTGAGCAATATGTATTACTTTGAGAGGGTAATTCCATTTATATTCTTTTACTTTTTCTTGATACATCTTAGTAGTTTTTTGTCATGAGTACTTTTTTTTATAATCATGAAAAGCAAAAGAAGAAAGAAAACCTAACTAAAACCAAAATCGCAGTATTAATTTCAGCTTACCATACTGTTCAATTTGATTGAGTCATCATAAATCTCTCAGAATCCCACGTTTTTCTACTAACTCAAATAGAAAAAATTCATCATCCTAACCAAATATATCTTTTTAAGGCGTACCCTCATTAAACCCATGAAGATGATAATAAGAATATGCAAACTAATACTTCCTGCAACTAAGACTTCTCCTAAATAACAAAAAAACATTCCTTCTGTTTTCAGTTTCAAAATCAAGGTCTGTGAAATGCAAAACAAATAATGCATAATAATTGACCTTGAGTGACAGTCACGAGTGCCCAACAGCTTCTCAGATGCACCCCATAAGCTCGGTAGAGTCAATGTTAGGTACTTGGGTGGTTCTCAACACTATCCCCTCAAATGTGCTCCTCCATCTCTCAATCCAAGCACAATGTCTAAAGTAAGATCATGCTTCCAAGGAAAGTGTCATTATGCCCTCTGCAAACTGTCAGGTGAGAAAATGCAGCTTTGTTTTCTTTTGCTTTTAAGTGAAACGGACCCGTTCCAAACAATGATTTGAAAAGAGGAGTTTGAGGAATGGAGAAAAAAAATTACACTCATTTGAGCTCTACCTCTGTTGGTGCAACACATACAAGCACCCCTTCATCACTTTGCTTCATCACTTTCTCCATGCGGGAGTAAGGAGCCTAGGTTTGCTTGGGGATCTTGGGGCAATAATCAACTGCGAGTCATTCTTATCCACATCCTCGCTGCAAGTTTAAGAGTACCGACTGTGTCCAGAGAGGGAACAGCACGTTAACAAAACAAATATATCAAAACATAGTTCAATAGGATTCTCTGGAGTACTCCTTATGGGAATAAAAAACACAGACTTTTAGGGAATCTGAAGAGCTCATGCCAGCTTTTCTTAGAAGATAGCTTGTTGTAAAAACTAGAAGTTGAGTTTTATATTTGAACAATGGAATGAAGAGTAAACCTAAATAAAATATCATTTTTATTGGCAATCCTTTTTTCAAATTAAATGTTATTTAGTAATTATAGAATGGCTGTAAGTAATTACATTCTAGAAGTTCTCCATACCTATTTTTGGTAAGTAAAAAGGCACAAGGAAAAAAAACTAAGGCTGATTTTATTACTCTACCCTATTTCCTTTTCTCAATTTATCATCATGCTATCTATCTGTTGGTCCATCTGTGAGGATTTTAGTCTCCATTTATCATGACAAATGGAGAAATGACAGGAGTTGTCAAGGATTTTGTCTCACTTGGACATCAATGCTCATGAAAGCATCAGTCAAGAGATCATAAGACATATTGCATTAGGTCAATCTGCTGCACAAGAACTCTTTAGAGTGTTGAAGAGCAAGGCAGTTACTTTGAGGACTAAGGTGCACCTGACCTAAGCCATGGCATTCTCCATTGCATCATGGGTATGTGAAAGTTGGACATTAAATAAGGAATACCACAGAAGAACTGATACATTTGAATTGCGGTGCTGGAGAAGAATATTGAAAGTACCGTGGACTGGTGGGCAAACTGCTCTATCTAGGAAGAAGGAAGGCCAGCGTGGTACTTAGAGGCAAGAATGGCAAGGCTTGTCTTACATACTTTGGCTATATTGTCAGGAGAGGCCAGTCTCTGGAAAAGGACATCGTGCTTGATAAGGTGGAAGGGCAAAGAGAAAGGCCCCTGACAAGATGGACTGACATTTGCATTAATGGGCGCAGCCATAGGAGCATTGTGAGGATGTGCAGGACCAGGCATTGTTTCGTTCTGTTGTGCATGGGGTCACTATGGGTCAGAGCAGACTTGATGGTAGCTAACAACTACTACAGGTGTGCTATTAACTATCAGATTCTTACCTTGGGAGGCAGGTGAGTGCTTTCCAAGTTCTTAATCATAACCCTGTGGAGAAGATGAAAAGATACCACAACTGCCCACAATACGCACTCTCTTTCATCAAGTTCATTCCTACTCATCTCAGAGGACGTGGGCAGCTGAGGCATCACAGATGACTAGAAGCAATGGAGAGGCCCCGTGGCTGCCCATGTCCTGCAGCGCAGTGAGAAACCTGGGTTCCGCCGAAGAAGACCCAAAACCTAACTCTCTGCCATGGACGTGATGCCGACTCACAGCAACCCTGCAGGACAGGGAAGACCTGTCCCTGTGAGCTTCTGAGACCCTAACTGCTAGCGGGAATAAAAAGGCCCGTCTTTTCCCAGTCTTAAGAACAAGAGACGTGTAGTTTTTATGATTGTCACCATCATAACCATACGAAAGTTTGAAGGCAGATTCTAAAGGAAAAATTCTGTTAATAAACTGGTTACTGAAACTACATTTTCTTGGTAAAAATATTCAATTATCCAGACTTCTGCATGGTTCAAACTATAGAGAAAAACTTAATTTTATGTCAATATTAATTTTACAAACATTTGTAGAAAAAATAAAACTT